GCTAAAAATGATATTCCTGACGAGTTGATGATCCCTTCTCAGAGGTGTTCAGCACTTTACAAAGTGCATTCAGAGACTTTCTTCTACTTCTTTTCACAGCAGAAGTCCCATGTGACAGGTCGGAGAATATTTTATAATCTCCTCATAAGTTACCTTTCTTTTATATCTCTCTGCCTTCGAAGTTAAGGAAAAGCATTAAGAAAGAACTACAGTATAATCTTTTCTTTCTTTTTTGGGTACCACTTTCAGTGTAAGGATCACAAGTGAAGTGTGTCACCTTCTCCGATGAGCAAGGTAAGTCTCTAGCTCAGTTCTATGGCTTGTCTAGATTGTGATAATAGAAGATGTGCTATGTAAAGGTACAAGGCAACCATTTTTCCCCTGGTTATTCAGAGTTCAGTATCCCAGGTTTTAATACTCTCATGCTTTCATACTGCTCAGCTGTAGTGCAAATATCACAACCACCTCTGCTAAATAGGGAAATAGTGATTCCACTGAAATAATAGAAGATGGATTCCAACACTAGAAAACCTTGGCTGAATCTCAGTAATTCTGCTCATTTTCTTATGAATTGAAAATATTGATTAATTCACTCAACAAATATTTATCAAGAGCCCACTATGTGGTAGGAATTTTCGTAGTTACTCTTAGAGCTCCATCACCCAAGGAGGCAAAGGATCTTCCCTCTTGCAATTTGTACTCCAGTAAGAGAAGGTAGACAATAGGCAGATAAATAAAATTGTTCCTTTGATTTCTAAACTTCCTACTGTCCTCCTTTATAATGATTTCTGTTTTGCTTACCTCACAAAGTTGTTTAGAAGAGCAAGTGAAATAATTACATGAACGTTCCTTGATAATTCTGTTATTGAGGAATTGTTTGCTGCAGAATTTATCAGGTTTGACCAGATGTTGGGCCTGGATTCAACAAATTTGAGGAGGGTATATCATAAAGAGATTATACATTTCGGTGAAATAAGTGGTAAAACCTTAAGTAAATTCCCCTTCAGAAGTCATGCCGTGGAAGACAACATCTCAAAATATACATTTGTTTTATCCTTAAAGCTCAGCCCCAAATCTTCTGTTGTTAATATTTATAAAAATAGCATGTTGGTTTAAACAAATTTGAGTTTATGTTATGGGGTCACCCACATAAGCTTCTTTAGCAATGTGGTTCCAATAATTTTGCTGGGCTTCTTTTGTTTTTTCAGTAATCTTACATAATAACACTGCACGCTAGTCCCTGCGTGGAACAGTTGTTTAAGTGATAGACTGCTAACTGAAAGATTAGAGGTTCAAACCCACCCAAAGACACCTCAGAAAAAAGGCCCAGCAATCTACTTCTGAAAAGTCACAGCCTTGAAAACCCTAGTGCTGTTCTATTCTGCATACATGGGGTCACCATGAGTTAGAACTGATCAACAGCAACTGGTTAATCCTAACCAAGATCAGTTGCCATAGAGTAGACTACTGTTAACTCATTTCCTAAACAGATTTGTCCATAATAACACTACAAATAATAATCACAGCATTTAGTTTAATAATAGAAATACTTTTAATTTCCTGAGTGTTCACTATGCGTTAGGCACTATTCTGAGTGCTTTAAACATATCTACTCATGCAATTCTTCAAATAGCCTTATGAGGTATTATTACCCCTATTTTAAACCGAGGCACAGAAAGGTTAAGTAACTTGCGCAAGGCTACCCAGTTACTCTGGAAAAACTGGGATCTGAATGCTGCCAGGTCATCCCCAGAGACCACGTTGTTTACCACCAGGATATACTGCCTCTCTAAACATTTATGTCTTAGTCATCTAGTGCTACTATACCAGAAATACCACAAGTGGATGGCTTTAACAAAGAAACATTTATTTTCTTCGGGTATAGCAGGCTAGAAGTCCAAATTCAGGGCATCAGCTCCAGGGGAAGGCTTTGTCTCCATTGGCTCTAGGGGAAGGTCTTTCTCATCAATCTTCCCCAGTCGATGAGCTTCTCACTGCAGGGACCCCAGGTCCAAAGGATGCGCTGTGCTCCCAGTGCTACTTTCTTGCTGGTATGAGGTCCCCCTGTCTCTCAGCTCCCTTCTCTCTTTTATATCCCAAAAGAAATTGGCTCAAGACACAATCCAATCTTGTAGACTGAGTCTTGCCTCATTAACATAACTGCTGACTATCCCACCCTCATTAACATCATAGAGGCAGGATTTACAGCACATAGGAAAATCACATCAGATGACAGAATGGTCGTCAATCACACAATACTGGGAATCATGGCCTAGCCAAACTGATATACATATTTTTGGGGGACACAATTCAATCCATGACAACTTACATTGTTTTCAAAGCACTTCTCTTAATTGCTTACAAGTGTCTTGTGACGTAGTAAAAGCAAGAAACACAACACCTACTTTGTTTTTTCAGATGAAGAGATTGAGGCTCAGGGGGACGTTTATGTTGTTTGTCCAAGGGGATAAAACAAGCATGAGCATTTTCCTCCAATATGTGTACTTCCCTCAAGAGAAGGAAGCAAGGCATAGGCTGGGTTGTGCTGCACTTGTTTGAACAGTCATAATTAAGAGATTTTTAGGCTTTTTTAGCCTGTTCTTTAAGGGGACAATTTTATTTGAGGAATGAAAGACCTCCGTTTTTTCTAAGACCTCAGGTGAATCACAACTGCATACATGATAATCTCATACTTCACAGTATTTCACATCTAGAAAGGCAAAGATGGATAATAGTTCTTAGGTAAGACAGACTTGGTATGAATCCCGCTGCTCACTAGGTCCATAAAACTAAAATTTTCTTAAAATTTCTAAGTCTCTGTATCCTCAGAAAATAATTACTTAACATTGTGGCTGCAAAGATTAAAACAGGTAATATTTATAATGCACGTCTCAGACTGCCTGGCACATAGTGAGTGCTCAGTTAATATGAGTACTATCTGGCTCAGGCATGCCAGTGATAAAACTCAAGAGTAATTTACTCTTGGAAGCACCAACTTCCAACCCAAACAAGGAAATAAGCAATAAAAGGTTTTTTTTGTTTTTTTTTTTAAATTTGTAGTGCTTTAGGTGAAAGTTTACAGCACAAATTAGCTTCCCGTTCAAAAATTTATACACAAATTATTTTGTGACGTTGGTTGCAATCCCCACAATGTGTCGTCACTCTTCCCTTTTCTACCCCTGGTTCCCTGTGTCCATTTGTCCAGTTTTCCTGTCTCTTCCTGCCTTCTCAGGCAGGAGTTGCCCATTTGGCTTCATATACTTGATTGAACTAAAAAGCACATTCCTCACATGCGTTATTGTTTCATAGGCCTATCTAATCTTCGACTGAATGGTGGACTTCTGGAGTGGCTTCAATTCTGAGTCAGCAGGGTGTCTGGGGCCATAGTCTTGTGGGTTCCTCCAGTCTCTGTGAGACCAGTAAGTCTGATCTTTTTTAGTGAATTTGAAATTTGCTCTACATTTTTCTCCCACTCTGTCTGGGACTCTCTATTCTGATCCCTGTCAGAGTGATCAGCAATAAAAGTTTTGAAGATAACGGAATATTCATTCAGAATATCTGGAAAGGAGCAGGAACTAATGGATATAGTCATGGCTGGATTAAGGCATGTGAGGGCCTTAAACGCTGATAATTTGTGGAGCTCCCTCCTCTGCTTACTCACACATTCAAATGGGATATATGAGTTATATATATATGTGTGTGTGTGTGTGCGTGTCTTAGCTATTCATGACATACCTTCTTTTTAAATGCAACTATAATATTAGTGATTGAATGTAAAAGTGGCATATGCCTAATACCTCATTTATTAGCATATAGAGTAATATCAAGAGTTGTGTCCTGCAAAACAGACAATAAAAAAACTCACCTGAATCATAAATTAAAACTTTTCATGTTAAATAAATATTAATATTTCCAGGATTTTTGGATGTTTGCTATGCTATTATAATATTAAATTATTATCCATGTTAGTATTATGTTAAATGTATGCTAGATTGCAGTTGTGTGTATGCCAAACATATTATAAAGTTAAAGTTATGAATATTATTGTTTACAAAATTAGGTCATAACTCTGTACATAAATGCTAGACAGTTAAAAAGTAACTTGACTGAATTCATTGCAATGATCGACTTATTTGAGTTCCTTTGATTCTGCATGTCATCTGGGACTGGAGTTCTCATTGGTTTTTTACCAGGAAGTGATATCATGGCAAAGAGCATTGCTGGCCTCCTGGCTGGAGTTGCTGGGTCAGCGGATGTGGATGTAAAAGATGGTTCTTGCAAAATGGATCAGAGACCTGTTATCTATTAATATAATCCGTCCTTGCCCAGTGACCATTCATGTTGGATCCAGTTACATATTGGATGAATGTAGCAAGAGTTAGACTCAACAGCCCACCCCCAAGTCTTGTTTATTAGAGAGAAATACTATACTCCCAAGAAACCCACCAAAATAAGGAGTTTCAATTACACAGGAGGGGACTGTAGGAGACAGATGTCAGTGAAGGTGTTGAACTGGTAGGGGCCTCATAGCTTAAGTAACCTTGTTCGTGGGTGCCCTTTTGATCCTGTGTGAACTTCATTTCTGGCTGGCACATTCTCATGCTCTGGATCTGATATCAGTTTCATTTAGTGCCCTGCCAATTCCCTTCCACATCGGCACTTGCTTTTCTTTGTGTCCTGTCTGCTTTGCATGTATGTGTCTTTGCCTTGGACAACTGGTGCCCCCGTTTTGTTGATGCCCTAAGCACATGCTTAACTTTCTTACTGGGTAATTTTCCCTGGATATAGTTAGTTCTCCTGAAGAATAGAAGATGGAGGTCAAAAGATGCCAGTCTCAGGGTTAGTGGGAACCCTGTGTGTATAAGGGTTATTGGTAATAGGATCATGGATATGCTGTGCTCATGTTATTTGGGTGACGTGAGTGTGCTCCGAGTCATTTTCCTTGCATTAATTCCTTCATTTTAGTTTCCTTGTTTTGACAGGTGAAACACAATTTTCAAATGGAATCCATGGAGAATAGCACTGAGGTGAATGAGTTTAGAGTCTTGGGACTGAATGATACCCCAGAGTTGCAAGTCCTCCTCTTCGTAATGTTCACCTTCATTTACCTCATCCCTCTCATTGGAAATCTTGGAATGATTGTATTGATTCTTTTGGACTCTTGTCTCCACACTCCCATGTATTTCTTCCTCAGTAACCTCTCTCTGGTCGACAGTATTTACTCTTCAGCCATTACTCCCAAGGTGATGGCTGGGTTCCTTACAGGGGACAAGGGCATCTCCTACGGGGGATGTGTTGCTCAGATGTTCTTCTTAGTCGCTTTTGCCAGTGTAGACTGTTTCCCACTTTCTGTCATGGCTTATGTTGGTCATGCAGCAGTGTGTAAGCCCTTACATTATACTACCACCATGACTATCAGTGTGTGTGCTCAAATGGCAATAGGCTGCTATGCCTGGGGCTTTGTTGAATCTGCCATCCACACTGGGTTCACCTTCAGCCTCTCCTTTTGCCATTCCAATGTGGTCTATCACTTTTTCTGTGACATCCCCCCAATCCTGGCTCTCTCCTGCTCTGATATCTACAGGAATGAGATTGTGCTCTTCTTCTTAGCATCTTTCAATGTCTTTTTTGCCCTTTTGGTCATCTTGACTTCTTACCTGTTCATTTTCATTGCTATCCTGAGGATACCCTCCGCAGAGGGTCGGAAGAAAGCCGTCTCCACTTGTGCTTCTCACCGCACTGCTGTGACAGTATTCTATGGAACTGTAATCTACATGTATTTACAACCCAGCTCTAATGATTCTATAGACAATGACCAAATGGCGTCTGTGTTTTACACAATAGTAGTCCCCATGTTGAACCCTATTGTATACAGTCTAAGGAATAAAGAGGTTAGTAATGCTTTCAAGAAAGCCATTGAGAAGGTGAAGACTCTGCTCAGCATATAATTTTCATTAGGGATATTATGCAATCTGTATCAGTTAAGGTTGTAGTTATCTATTGCTATGGAACAAACTACCCTAAAGCTTAAAAACAAAAAATAGCAAACCAGTGGATTCCAACTCATGGTGACCCCGTGTGTGTCAGAGTAGAACTGTGCTCCATAGGGTTTTAATGGCTGATTTTTTGGAATTAGATCCTCAATCCTCTCTCTCGAGGCAATTTTGGGTGGGCTTGAACCTCCAGTTTTTGGTTAGCAACCAAGCACATTAACTGTTTGCATCACCCAAGGACTTAGTGTCTTAAAATAATAAAACTTATTATTTCTCATAATTCTATTGTTAACAGGGTATTTTCTTTGCTGCTTTCACCTGACTTCACTGGGGAACTCTACCAAACATTTACAGAGCAAGTAATCCCAATCCTTCTTAAATTTATCCAAAATTCAACTAACTCTTCCTAACTCATTCTATGAGGCTAGCATTACTCTGATAACAAAGCCAGACAAAGACACCACAAGAAAACTACAGACCAATATCCCTTACGAACACAGATGCAAAAATCCTCCACAAAATACTAGCAAACCAAATCCACAGCTATTAATAGGAGAAAACAATCCTTCCAACCATAGTTGCTAGAACAGTTGAGTCTCCACATTCAAGAAAATGAACCTTGAGTCATAACTCAGACTCTATGAAAATTAACTTAAAATACCCCATAGACGTAAGTGTAAAACTAAAATTACACATTTTTGAGAATACATTGTAGAAAAGCTTAGTGACGTCAGGTTAGGCAAACATTTCTTGGGTATGAAACCAAAAGCATATTCCATCAAGGAAAATACTAGTAAATTGGCCTTCATCAATTGTTGTTTGAAAGACAGTGTTAAGAGAATGAAAAAACAAAGCACAGATAGGAGAAAATATTTGCAAATCACTTATCTGTTAAAGTACTTGTATCCAGAATATATAAAGAACTCTTAAAACTCAATAAGAAAACAAATAACCCGATTGAAATAAGTAGACAAATGTTTTGAGCAGACACTTCATTAAGGAAGATAAGAGAAGGCAAAAAAGAACAACATTAGTTGTTAGGAAAATACAAAGTAAAAACAAAATGAGTTACTACAATACACCAAATAGGATAGCTAAAAGAACTAAACAACAAAAACAACAAAATGATGATACCAAGGGCTGGGAATGACGTGAAGGAATTGAGATTATTGTAAATTACTGATGGGAATGCAAAATGGTACACCACTTAAAACAATGGCAGTTTCTTACAAAGTTAAACATAAGTTTACTATATGAGTCAACAATCCCACTTCAAGGTACTCACTCAAGTGAAATGTAATCCTTTATTCGCACGTAAATCTGTATGTGAATGTAGTTGTTAGGTCCCCGTCAAGTCGATTCTGATTCATAGCAACTCTGCAGCAGAAATACTGCCCAGTCCTGCACCATCCTCACAATCATTGTTATGCTTGAGCCCATTGTTGCAGCCACTGTGTCAATCCATCTTGTTGAGGGTCTTTCTCTTTTTCACTGACCCTCTACTTTGCGAAGCATGATGTTCTTCTCTGGAACTGATCCCTCCTGATAACATGTCCAAAGTATGTGAGACGTAGTCTCACCATCCTTGCTCCTAAGGAGTATTCTGCTGTACTTCTTCCAAGACAGATTTGTTCATTATTCTGGCAGTCCATTCAATACGCTTCCCCAACACCACAATTCAAAGGCGTCAATTTTCCTTTGGTCTTCCTTATTCATTGTCCAGCTTTCGCATGCACATGAGGTGATTGAAAACACCATGGCTTGGGTCAGCCATATCTTAGTCCTTAAAGTGACATCTATGCTATGTGAGTGTTTATAGAAAATCTACTAAATCACTAAAAATTAGAAATATAAACAATCTGTGTTAGATCCATACAACAGAAAGCTACTCAACAATAAAAAGGAACACACTATTGATACATGCAACAAAATGGATGAACCTCATAAATGCATTATGCTATGTGAAAAAAGCCAGATTTGAAAGTCTACATACTATATGGTTCTAATTATGTGACATTCTCACAAACGAGAAGTCGTAAGACCAGGAAGCAAATTAGTAGTTGCCAGGATCCAGTAGTGCCTGGAGGGTTTAATTACAAATAAGCACAGGGGAATTTAGGGGCTGATGAACTGTTCTTTATCTTGACTGTGGTGGTACTTACATGATCATATATATTGGTCCAAACTCTCAGAACGGTACACTAAGATGTGTGAATTTTACTATATATAAATTATACTTTCATTAGAACATTTAACAAATGAAGAAGTGACAACAAATAATGTAAATACATCTATGTGCTTGATCAACAATCCAAGCTGGGTTTCCCCAGGCAATTTAATTATCTCTTCCCTAGGTAAGTGGTAGAAGGATCTGTGATTGCCCTTGTAGGGGGTCTGTTCCCCTGAGATCTCCTCATCTCTAAAATTCCCTGCTCTTTCCCGTTCATTAGCTTCTGAAATCTCAACATGATCCTATTAGTAGAGGGACCAGACTGTGTGCAAAGCCCCTTTGCTCATTTATTTACTTATCTCAATGTGAACAGTTGTTAGGACAGATGCCAGCCATCCCCCAAACTGAGGATTTGCTGTGAGCTTGCAACTACAGCCAGGGAAAACTCCTTAAGAGAAAAAAATTGTATTGAATGTGGTTAAAAAGATAACCCCTTACTGAGTTGTTTTATAGACCTTCCCTCATTTCCTTTCACAGCCACAATTCTGTGAAGTATGTGGGTGTGGTAATAATATTATGTCTATTTCACAAATAAAGAAACTAACCTTGGCATAGGGTAAGTAATAATTCCAAGGACACTTTTGACCAGTATCCAAGAGAGCTTCTCCAATAGGATTTTTATATTCTTCTCTGAGAGAGTTTCAGATGTAAGACTCAAACCTCAGGAATGCCAATATCTTTTTGCAAGCAGCGAGGTAAGCTTGTATATTCTATATATGCATTTTTTAGTGAGAAAGGTAATTAATACATGCAAAACAGTAGGAAAGCTACATCTATTATTAGTTGAGCTCAGAATAGGATGTCATGATCATTTATTGATGCGCTTGGTTGGGCTACAGTTCCAATGACAAAATACTTCCCTCAGTAGAAATTTCAGTGATAGTTACGAAACACCGTGCTACTTCCGCCTAAGGAGGATGGACAAAAACATAAGATAGATGTTGCTCTGATTGAATAGGTAGTGATTTCATTTTGTTTACTACCTATTGCTCTGTCATTGTTTGATCAGTTTAAACTGACAGTTCTTTAGACTCCATCCATCTTGTTGAGGGTTTTCCTCTTCTTCACTGACCCTCTACTTTACCAAGCATGTTGTCTTTTGAGTGCCTTCCAACCTGAGCAGCTCATCTTCCGGCACTATATCAGACAACGTTTTGCTGTTATTCATAAGGTTTTCACTGGCTACCTCTTTTCAGAAGTAGACTGCTGGGTCCTTCTTCCTAGTCTGTTTTAGTCTAGAAGCTCAGCTGAAACCTGTCTGCCATGGGTGACCCTGCTGGTATTTGGATACTGTGGCATAGCTTCCAGCATCACAGCAACTCGCAAGCCCCCACAGTATGACAAACTGACAGATGAGTGATGGGTGTATATAGATATACCTATATATATATATCTCAGTTACTTCACTGTGCAACCCCACACATTAGGCTTGGTAATGGACACAATGAGTAAATGTGAACTGAGTTGAATTAAATTTAATTACATTCCAGTTAAGAGCATGGGTCATGGTAACCGTTCTGCCTGGGTCCAGAGCTTCACTCAGTTGAAACTCATGTAAACTTACACAAAATAATCAACCTTTTATAAGTTTGTTGAGGGAATTAAACATATATAAACACATTAAACATATAAATAAATTTTAAAAATAAATAGCCTAGAATAGTATCTAAATGTGAGTATTATATAAATGAAAGCTGTTAATAGACTCAGGTGATCTGATCTGGGCAATGTCTGTATTGAAAATATGACTTGAGATAAGTTATAACTTCTTTCTGCACCTCAGTTTATTCATTTACAAAAGTGGGAAGTTGACCATATGATTTGTGAGGAATCTTCTGTTCCACAGTCTATATAGATAATTTACGCACCCATTTATTTTGGTCTAATCCATGTTTTAGATCAGAGAATGGTGAAGAACAAATTAATGTCATGATGAAATAAGGAAATAATGGAGTACGTACATATTTTAATTTCAGTGAAATACGTTTTCCATTTACCAATTTTCCTTTATTTCACACCACTGCAGGGCATGTCATGGTTCCCATGGAGAATAGTACAGAGGTGACTGAGTTCATCCTAGTGGGTCTAATCAATGCTCCAGAACTTCAAATCCCTCTCTTTATCTTGTTCACCCTCATTTACCTCATCAGTTTGTTTGGGAACCTGGGGATGATGGTATTGATTCTGCTGGACTCTCATCTTCACACTTCCATGTACTTTTTCCTCAGTAATCTCTCTCTGGTGGACTTTGGTTACACCTCAGCTGTCACTCCTAAGGTCATGGCTGGGTTCCTTGTAGGAGACAATGTCATCTCCTAATGCATGCGCTGCTCAAATGTTCTTTTTTGTGGCTTTTGTCACCGTGGAAAATTACCTCTTGGCCTCAATGGCCTATGACCGCTGCGTAGCAGTGTGTAATCCCCTGCATTACACCACCACCATGACGACAATGTATATGCACGTCTGGCCATAGGCTCCTATATCTGTGGTTTCCTGAATGCCTGCTTCCATGTTGGGGACATATTCAGTCTCTCTTTATGCAGGTCTAATACGATCCAGCACTTTTTCTGTGATGTTCCAGTGGTCATGGTTCTCTCTTGCTCTGTAAACACATTAGGGAGCTGATTCTTGTTTTTATGTCAACCTTCAATGTCTTTTTTGCTCTTCTAGTTATCTTGATTTCCTACCTGTTCATATTTATCACCATCTTGAAGATACATTCAAT